GGCAATTCCCCCCCCCAGAGAATGAATTCCCCCCCCCCCCAGTAAAACCATTTCTGCCCCCGAAGTGCGAAGCAGAATTGCTGTTACAATTGCAGTTGATTTACTTGATAATGAGATTATGCCCTTCCATAGCCACCTCCACAGCCATCTTGTATTCAAGGTGACTTTTCCAATTTATTTAATTCCGAGTAGAAATGTCTGAAAATTCATGTCTTTAATGTACTTTATAATCTTCGGAATTCTGCTAGATTTCACCTTCAAAATGCTTGAAATCGCAATTCAGGGAACCTAGATTTCAAAATTTTCCCGGGGGTGCATGCCGGACCCTCCTAGACGGTCTCACGCCTTTGGCGTGAGGTCTCCCCCCCAAAAAAAATTAAGGTACTGACATCCACACCTCCCCTGGCCCCACATAGAAAATTGAAAGTTAACCCCCCCCCAACCCCTTTGGATGACCTAATACACTTACTATTAACAGAAACAATTTTTTCTCCCCCAGGGGAGTGTGAATCGTTTCTGGATTGACCCAATAAAATTCTTAAAAATCTTTGTGAAAAACTATGGGACAATAAAATCTTTGTGAAAAACTATGGGACAATAAAATCTTTGTGAAAAACTATGGGACATCTGCTGTAAGTTCACATAAAGTGAAAGATCTAATGCCATTCTCCACTTTAATATTGGCCTCACAGACTAATGTCTGTTCATCAGATGTTGACATGGGTGAGGAAGGGATGGTTGTATAAATGTATAAAAAGGTAACATTGGAATGAATGCAATACTGTTTCCAGTGAAATGTGAAATGACCATTTTTAAAGCAGTTTGTCAGTGACAGCTCAGTTAACTGAGTTGAAATTCAGCCCAGGCTGAAAACTCTTTTTAATTTAATTTATTAACTTTGCCAGATAGTCTTAACAGTTATTACAAAGTAATAATATAACAACGAATTAGCTAAATAGACTATATGGCAGGGTATTCGCAACAGCGATTAGCCAATTACTGCGAACCCAACTCTCCATGTGACCAGCCGCTTGCAGATAAGGGTATTAAAACTATTGTATTTAAATGCCTTCTTTTTCATGAATAAGGATTATTATCCAAATTAGGCAGTGATGTTCAACAGCCCAAGTACCAATAGTATGTCAAAAAAATATTTTATTAATTAATGTCACTATAGTCTCTATTAGTGGTGTCATGGTGAGCAGCACAATACACTATCATCACCAAAGATTTACTATTTCTACATTGTCAATACAGTCTTTGTGTATTTTTGACAGCTGTGAATTGAGAGATATACAGCTACCAGGAAAATACAAGCGGAACTTCGACGTTTCGAGTGAAGGCCCTTCAAGGACGTCGAAAAATATATTTACTTCAGAATTATAGCCCTACAATATGGTGTAAAATTATCATTAAATTGAAAATCTCATTAGTCGACAGATGCTACTGTGTCTAATAAATAATGTAAAATCTGTTACAACAAATTATACAAAATTTTGTCCAAAGCTCTGACGAGACTTTTCTAATTTGTTCTTCACAGACTGTAATAAAAACCTTTTTATAGGTTTATTGAAATTTACGGAAAATACTGTATTGACTTATCAACAAGTACTGTTCAAACAAATCAATTACATTTATGTTTATACCGGTGCTGCTGTATACGTGGAAATCCCTACTTTTATCTTGCGGTAGACGAAATTATTTCTCAAATATACGGTTTTTGTGCTATTTAAAAAACTAGGGATAACCAAAATATCGCAATATAGACGTTGTCAAGTGTGGAGATAAAGTAACAAATATAATTGAAGTATTTTCGGCGGTAATATAGCAAACAGATCCTTCCCGCTCAAATGGGCTCAATCCGGCAAAATGAAACTACCGACAAAGCGTTTCTGAATGAACAAAATATTCGCATATAGTTACCTCGACGTACTGCGTTCAACGCTTTCAGCACCACAGAAAGTACGAACGGTAGTCATCTTCAACTTTTTTCTTCAAGACAGCCAAACTAAATATCAGAACAGTGAGATCACAACCGCACAACTTCTATTTCAAGTGTTCGTTTGAAAGAACAATCAATTATTTATTTGAAATTTTTTAAAGCACCCACACAAAGGTCCCGGATTCGACGGTTGAGTGTAAGATTTGATTGGTTGAGAGCATTCATGATTGTCATATTGTCGTATTCCTATTGGTTGAAAGATACAGTAAACGAGTGTTTTTTTTTTCAAGTACATCCGGTGAAATATGTTGTTCATTTCGTTTGCTTTGCTTTTCTTCGATAGTGAATTCAGTTCCGTGTACAATTGAGTCTTTGATCTGTTCATGTTACGTTTTTATCCATGTAAAAAGCGTTTCTCGTGCGTGTGACTGTATACTACAGTATTTAATCGTGTTTGCTCTCAGTGTTGTTGCAATAAATGGCATCTTCTGACGTTGTTTCTCTTCCCGCCTTGCACAAAGCATGTCGTGACGGAGATAGCACTACTCTAGGTGTTTTGATAAACTCGAATATCGCGGACAGACTTGAGTTATTTCATCGTATTTGTGAGTGTGATTCATACCTTGGTTGGACACCAGCACATTGGGCAGCATATCATGGGAAAGTAAGTTTTGTATATAAACAAACTGTCTTTATTATAAAATGTACATTTATAAAATATAAACATCGTGACCGTGAAAATGGCGGGTGATTCTGTAATCTTTTAAACTTTACTCAGAGAACTTTACTAGTATACTGAACTCATCACACATTTATAGTATACCATAATATATAACAAAAAAAATAAAACTTACAAAATAAAAATGTATTAAATTTCTCTCAGTCTCACGATACCCTGCTAGTAGTCCTTTCTAGCTGAGCTGAGGAGAAACCACTGCACATAATTGGGAAGAGACTATATCACTATACAGAAGTCCGACTTCTTGGTTTTTCCTATGATTTTCCAATGATTTTGGTGTAACCGTATTAAAAATTTGTCATCAAAATGCTGACGCCATGGGCACAGAATAAGAAGGTATAGCAGAAGCGTAACTCTAGTCGTTTCCCTTGTTGTTTTACGTCCACGAAAATTTTAACTCGCTCACGCCATCCTGGCTAGTACAACCGGAAGTTTTTATCAGGTTTTGCTAGGTACAAAGTGCCGGTTGTACTAGCCAGGATGGCGTGATTGATGACGAATCGCTTGTAAAAACACAGACAAATACTTGCTTGAGTTACGCTTCTGCTATACCTTCCTATTCTGTGCCATGGGTAGCCAACTGGTGCGCGTTTGAGAGGCATTCACCCCCTGAAAATATTTAAAATGGCGGACGTCCAGGGGGGTAATTCCTCTCATAAGCGCACTGGCTAGGCCCATAGCATCAGCATTTTGATGATGAATCATGGCATGGTAGCAGTTACTTGAGTTGACCTTCTGTATGTGTTTATTCTGTGACCACTGTGAGCAAACAAACAATTGTTTGATGTAGCCGCCATTCAGATTCACAGATGACTACATTAAATGAGAAACTGGTAAAACCAGTTTGACAAGTTTTTGTTATACTTATACACTAGAGTTCAATAGAATAAACTTCAATAGAATAACTATAAATTCCACACTGGAACAAAAATCAACCTTGTAGAGAAATATGTTTTGTAGCGGTTGAGGTTGCGATGATTAAAAATTACAATAATTGTCAAAATCAGCAGTACAGGTGTATGTACCACAGAATACCACACAAATTTACATGTTCCATATCTTTTGTCAAATGCTAGCCTGTGTGCAGGCCCACCGAGGGAAGAATAGTGGGCCTGCAGCAAGGAAGACCTGGTATTTTGCAAAATGCCCCCTTTTCATAACATGCCCCATTCGTGCATCAATTGTCAAAAAAGAACCAATGACAGTAACCCTACTTGTTCAGAATAGAAACAATGTGTAAATGGCTGCGTTTTAACTAAAAAAAATTGCCAAATTTGCAAAGTCTCACTTTCAACTAAAATCGGAACAGGCAAATTAGGACGAATTTCAACAGAAAACCAGTCTCAAACTTCAAATCATGAGGGAAGTCGTGCAACCACATTAGCATTAATGTGTGCTTCTGTCGCCATTAAATTTTTATAAATAAATTGTCTCACTTATCAGATCGTGTGTGCAATTCATGTTGGCGGTGGAAAGTACAAAGTAACTTTATTTCAGTTATTTCATTTGGTAAAAAACTTGACAAAAGAAGAGAGCATTCAGAGTCCAGATTGTTTTGTTTCAAACGGCAATTAGCGTCTTCTGTTTCGCTCTCTGTCTCAGCGAAGCCCTGCAAATCGCAAAGTGTTTCGAATAGGTTTACATGCAACTGCCTCTAAATCTTCACCGCGAAAAGCGCTGTTTTCTTCAGTGCAAGAACAGAGTCAACATCAACCAAAAGATAATTTTCTTGAGGAACAATTGTCTTTTTGAAATTAATGAAACTCAAGTAAAGGTTACTATAGTTTACCCCAGTGGTAATGTTGCTATTCCAACACTTCACCACAGGCAATCCCTGTTGGCATAATGGCAAAAACATCTTTTCCTTCAAGTAAACAATAAACAGTCTGTTCTTGTTCCATTTTTAATCGAAAAAAGTGATCAGGTCCAATTTTAAAGGTGATCTACAGTCCGATCTGCACATGTGCACAAAGGAGCCCACTTTTTATGATACAAACAGTTTAACTATGTTTTGGGTTCTTGCAAAGCCTGATTGTTGTTTCTTGATCATTTATTATACTCTAGAAGCTTGAAAATATAAATAGTTGACGAATAAAGCTCAATATTTTGGACGCAAAAATGTAAACAAAGGCTTTGTTTACATACGGACTGTAGATCACCTTTAAGCTTATCGAGAGCCTTTCTGATGAATCACTGATCTAATTATAGAATCCAGCAGCAAACAGCCAATCAGAATGCTGCATTCATGGACGAACACAGAAAGTACAAAATACCAGGTCTTCCTTGCAGGCCCACTATTCTTCCCTGGGCCTGCATGCGGGCTAGTCAAATGCATATAACATAGCCTGTTAAATATTTTTTAGTATAGTTTTTCGTTATCTTTTTCTTCCTGTGGGCTCTTGGGGTTAGATTTGGCAGATTCTATTATTTTTTAAATCGGACATTCTGTGGATAAAATCCTAATGTACCACAGAATACCAGTGCGCCAATAAATAAGGAACGGTTTATCAAATTGTATGAGGAAATGGTGTGTCATGTTGTGTGCATATTGATTGGATGAATACAAAACTTGAAAAAAATATAACAGAAATTCAAATCCACAATTTGTTGCGTGAGGCACTGATTTCAAAATATTTTAGTATACTGGCAACAACGATATTAAAACCAATATATAAATTGTGAACTTCATGTAGAATAAAAAGTCGTTTGATTTAAACTGACAGACAACAAAGAAAACACTGCTATCGCGAGGCGGTTAGCTCAGCAAGTTGCTCTCGTGTGCGTATAGTTTTCTTGAGGATTTGACCTCTCGAGGCCTTGAGGAAAATATCTTTCGTGTTTGATATTTTTCGCCTCGCGAGGAAAAAATCTCAGCGTGTGCGGATGTTGTGAGCTAAGTGCTGAGCTGTTTGAATCAATTAGCCAATGACAAACCATGGTTTCTTCATGTGACTTGGAACAAAATGGAGGAAAATGCAAATGATTTTGTCATTTATGTTGTTGTTGAGTAGTTTTCCCAACGTGTGCGGTGAAAATACATGGCTGAGCTAGCTGCCACACGAGGCGGTTAGCTCAACAAGTTGCTCCCGTGTGCGGCGGGCTTATGACATGCTTGTTCACAGATAACAAACTACGGGAAATAAAGTCAACTGTGCCGTCACGTCGCATTGGTCCCATCACACGATCTTCGCGCATACTCGATAGATGATTGTTCGTTTGCTCGCAGTGGTTACTCTTCAGCTCAGCTAGAAACCACTGCTAGCAGTGTACGCTGTCTTTCAACTCATTGCTCTTTCTTAAAAATGTCAATCTTGTTAAAATTAGATTGTTTGTTTCTAAAGTCCCTGCCCCTTATCACGCCACCTAGTGTGGCCTACTAAAGTTCCGGTTTACTACTCCCCTAAAAATTTAGTCTTAATATTTATAACGTCAACTCAATTGTTCCCTGTTTAGTCTGCATCCTCGTTTTCTGCCAGCTCGCCTATTTTCTTTCTCGCTTCAATTGCTGCTCCCCGTTTCTCTCTTTCCTTTTCAACCGTCTCCTCTTTCTTCAAGCTCTTTCTTTCTTTGTTCTATTTGCGTTGTGATTCGACTTTCGAATGGACACACCAACTGTAACAGTCGTTCGATAGTGTCACTGCCCCTTGTGTAAAAGCATCACACCACCGTCACCACGTACCACTCCGTCCTTTCCTTTGACTTGTCGCACTTCCCTTCTTCCATTTGCTCCTGTTCTTTTCTTCTCCCACGACTAAAACTTCAGGCGCGTTAACTGGTTTTCTATTTACTCGTTGGCTTTCCATTAAGCTGTGTACGTATTCTTGTTGCCATCTTTTCCAAACGTTGTTGTTTGCCTTGGCGATTCTTTTTTCATCTTCGTAAGCTCATCTGTGTCATCTATGTCATCAAGAAGATAAGTGTTTTTCCCTCGGATGAGAACATTTGGCGTTAGTACTTCTTCCTCCCCACTTTCGCTTACTACATAGGTTAACGGATGATTGTTCTTATTAATTTCAATGCTCATGAGAACCATTTCCAAATTCTTGAATGAAAGATACGATCTTCCAAGGGTCTTGTAAAGGGTCTTCTTTCAGGGTTCGTAGCAGTCTTTGAAATCCTTAAAAGTCTTTAAATTTGAATGCAGGTCTTTAAGGTCTTTGAAAAGTCTTTGAATTGTGTGAACAAGCGAAGAAAGTCTTTAAAAATCTTTAAATTCTTTAGTGAGTATTTGATTATACGATTTCCTAGCTAATAAAATAGATTGATTGAAGCAAGATTTCCGCAAATATCGATGAAAAGGCGCATTTTAGGATGTGATTTGACGGGGCTAATTAATGCTCTCAAAGTCTTTGAAAATAGGCAGCAAAAATCTTTGAAAGTCTTTGAATTTTTTTGGTCTTGGAGACTACGAACACTGTCTTTACTTCCCGAATCAATCTTTCATAGGTACCTCCCCACCAAGAGGATTTAGCGAGGTTGAATCTCCAGTGTATACCTTGTGCTGCTAGGAAGTCGTGCAATTTCTCAGTCTTTCTAATGGCGTTGATTAGTTTGGCTGTCGTTTTAAATGTTGCTGCGTTGTCCAATATCATTAATCGAGGTCTTCCTCTTCGAGCGGTGAATGAGTTGAGCTTTCGTTGGAATTCCTGTGCTTCTTGGCCCTTGGTTACTTCCATGAGGTGGATCGCTCAGGATGCTGCACACATGAAGATTAATACATAGCACTTTCCCTCTTCTCTCTAACTGATTTTGTATCTTAACGGCCCGGCAAAATTGACACCGGTGACTTCGAATGGTTTGCTAGCTTCTGTTCTAATGCTGGGCATGTTGCTCGTCATTGGTGACCCATATGGCTTCGTGGAATACAACTTCCAGATATTGCAATTGTTTATTATTTTTTTCACCTTTGATCTAAGTTGTGGTATCCAAAACTATTCTCTCAAAGTAGCCATGGTATGTGCGACACCGAAATGCTTGATCTTGCTGTGAGTGTGAGCTATTAATTAGCTTTTTTACGAACAGTCCTCCGTCAAGGTATATTCATTGGCTTGTGTCCATTTACTCTTCCTTTACGTTTGAGAACTTTCGTCACTTTGTCTTCGACGATTCTCCAACCTGGTGCTTGTAATTCAGGGTTGAAACCAGGGTTGTACTCTTCTCACTCAAGCATTTCTTGCGACTGTAATTTCTTCATTTTTTCTGTGTTGGTGTAATGTACTCAGGTGAATATATATGATGCTTGTGATGTTACTCTGAGTGTATATCCACACCGTCCGGGCAAGCTTGAAAAATAAACCTTTTGGTTTCTTTTGGGCTACCTTGCCTTCATTCATATTTTATTAATTCTATGTAACTATTTTTTTTGTCATTGGCGAATAAATTGATTTGATTTGATTTTAGTTAAATCGCGCAATCACGCGACCTACTTATCTGTTAGCAGATAACTGAGTTATCTGCAAATGAGCCTGCGATGATTAGCAAGCAGTATCTATTTACACAATATGTATAATAAAACAATTATTGAATTCGGTTTTTGCGATATGCAAAATTATCAAGGCCTCGGTAAGCGTTATCAGCCTCGCCTTCGGCTCGGCTGATAACGCTTACCTCAACCTTGATAATTTTGCATATCGCAAAAACTGAATTCAATAATTGTTAAGTATATTGATATACCACAACAGCCTAAAATTATGTTTTCAGATCGAAATACCTTGCATGTGGATATGGTAATTAAACTGTAAAGTACTTTACCAACATTGCAGGTTGAATGTTTGCGTCAGTTGTTAAATTGTGGTTTAAATGTGGATGTTGGTGAATGTCGTTATAGAAGAACACCAGCTCATGTTGCTGCATTTGCTGGTCATCCTCACATGTTGCTATGGCTACTGCAAGCTGGTGCTGATACAAGCAAGCAGGTAGTCAGCATACGTTTTATACTACATGTAACGAGGCAAGAGCTCAAAGATGCTTCATCTTATTTTTATCAGCCCTTTCCCAAATAGGTTTCCTATAGAAAATCTTGTAGGAATTCCTATAAGAAATTTGCTATTCCTACAGGATCCTACAGTACATAGGAATTCCTGTTAGATCTTATAGGATGCACATCTCTGTCGCTGTAGAATTTGAAAAATGCCATTAACTAGGTTCAAGGACTTCATGAAAAGCTTTGTAAGACCGGAATATAAGTTTGTTAGTCAATACTAATAACATATTTATAATAACTTGTTACATTTTGGCATAAATTAACCATTAAGCACCAGCGCTCTCCCCTTGACGAGCAAAATTGTCTGGCATTAGTGAAGAGTAAAATAATAAAGTAGGGCGCATCAAGGCACAATGCGACTTAATGGGTTAACTAGACACATTAGCAGATGGGCGAGTTAACCTATTAATTAAGCACCACCACTCTCCCATTGACAAGTAAAATTGTCTGGCGTTAGACAGAATAAAATTATAAAGTGGGGCGCATCAAGGCGCAATGCGACTCAATGCATGGGTTGATGAACTAGAGCGAGTTACTTTTATGACAAACTTTTCTGTTACATTGTCATGCTTAATTTGTCCAAGGTTTATGCATCTTTATTTGTTATTTAACTTAGGATGATAATGGTGACACTGTTGTCCACCATGCTGCTCGTAGTGGAAGTAATGACTGCCTGGAAATATTACATTCAAATAATGCGTACATGTGGTATGATTTCCTTACTTTATAATATACAATTTTTGATTTACTGTAGTGATGTAGGATTCGTATCATAAAGTTTCTGATTTTGAATGTCTTTTAATAGCTATTGTTTTTGTAAGTCGCTTGCAATTATTTAATTACAACACAACAAATGTTAGTCACTGGTAAACTTTCATCGAAGTGTATGCACCCTTTTCGGTGATCCAGGTAATTGGCATGTATTTTTTGTGAGGATTTTGTCCAACATGTAGCAAATACAGGAGGTCAAAAATAAACGATGTACAGCGATTGTTACTAATTTGAATAAGGATGACATGAAAAGTTTCTATTTACAACTAGAAAAATGATTAAATTTGTTGTTTGTTTTCAAATGTTGAAAAAATTAGCGGGTACCCAAATTGTACCAGCAAGTTCTCACTGGAAGGTTTTCTGTCAATCACTTCAGACTACTCTCAAACTGTACATAAACACACTCATAAAGTGGTATTTAAGTGGAACAAAATAACTCCATCTGTAAACATACCATACTGTATGTAAAAACCGGAAAACAGCCTTGAAGTCACAGCTACATTTACAGGGTAAAAAAATTTACACTATGTATCGGTAGTTTTTCAAAAAAAAATTATCAAGTGATTAATTAAAGTATCTGAAAATTCAAAATTGTAAGAAAAGATTTCAAGTCAAGTCCCTGATGTTCCATTTTTCTTTGAGGGTTCAGCTTGATGAACACAAGGTTATTTCACTGTTTGAATTAAACCTTCGAAGAACAAACTAACTCCAAGACCCCAACATTTGAGTAACGAGTAATCCATTTGAACTTCTGTTGTGGTAATGAACAGGGAGTGATAATAAATTAATGGAGATATGTGCACATAATTGAACATTTTATTACCGGTATTCATGTTCACCATCCTCAGGGTGAATAAGAAACACCACCTAAAACAACCAATAGTTGTCCAAAATATAGTGACCAAGAATTGAGAATATAAAATCACATTTACTAACATTTTCCTAGCGTGCATGTGCCCTGCTTACATCTTGATCTCGGGCCACAAAAAAATTAAAATGAAGACATAATTAAAAGCCCCTTCTTTCCGTCGGCGCTCAGCAGCCTTTTGTTTATTGAGCTGGACCCTGTCCAAAAAAGTCCACGTCTCATGGAAATGATTAGCAATAATCCAATTATGTTTATTTCAATTTTTATGTCATTCTCATTCTGTTGGTGTCATACTGTCACCATTTTATAGCCATAACCAGTTGTGAGATGATTTTCGATTTGAGAATATGATCAATTTGGTTGTTAACTTTTCAACTTAATATAATACCAAATTTGTTTTGAGCAAAATATTTCTAAAGTTATTTGACAAAAGTACTAGCTTTTTGTTTTGTAATTAAGTTATTGTATTTCATTTCTACGGCTGCAGTTGATTCGTTGAAGGCCTAATATCGGCGTATCACCATTTTTGAATGTGTGTTTAATTATGTTTATGCATCGTTACTACATGTTGTATCGTTTTATTTTGTTCTGAAAATAAAAGGAAGAATAATGGTTAGTGGTATGCTTGAATAGAAATTACATATTAAATTGAATTAAAAAGAATATAATTTCAAACTATTTTACAGTGCATGGTTTGTCGTTGCAACAAAAAATTCTATGTGGTGGTTTGGTAGAAAGAAATTAAAACTTAGAATACCACTTCCCAAATTATTCCTTACATTTTCTGTTTTTATTTTGTTTTATTCTTTATATATACAGTATCTGGTGTTGTTGTTTTTTGTTCATATATTATAAATATAAACTGTTATAATATACAGGATCATTTTGTTTGTGAAAATTGCGGTGAATTAGCTGGTTTGGTGTGACTTGCAGACTTACAACTTGTATTAGAGAATGGGAATTCAAGGCAATTCGATGGAATGAAGGTAGTCAGTAATAAGACTCAGTTAGAGTCTTTGTGTTTATGATCATGTTTGGACAACTACCATGTTCTAACTTCCTATTCAATGATCATACATGTTATATTGGCATATTTCATGATAACTGTATGCCTGTTTGTTAATCTATATACAGTACCTATATATGGACTTGGAATTTCAATAATTTAACATGCTAATTTATACAGTATTTTCCATACATAATCTTTTAATTTAATGCCATGACTGATCTGTGATCAGTGCAGGCAAATGAAGTTGTCGTGCTGTACGATGTATTATCGCAGTTATGTTGCTTTTATATATTATACTCAAGGCCAATGCTTAATCAAATATAAATATATGATTTATAGCACAGATATTTCTGTCTCGAAGTGTAACTTGCATATGGTTTCACTATATGGTTTTTTCCTGAGTCAACACTTGCTGAATTGCATGCATGGTTGATAGTTAATTTTACGTGACTGCACGGATCAGGCTTTACAAGTTCCTATAATTTTATGTATTTAAGTGTATATATAGCTGTAATTTTATTTCTAAGTTCAGTAAGTTTTCTTTGTTTGGATCTCTCCAAGGTTTTATTTGTGTAATAGAACGTATATATATATATATATGTAATATATGTAATGATAAGTATGCATGCATGATAAGTCTCGGACTAAGTTGGACTGTTGGACGATATACGTGTCATACGGTGGTATCGGTACGAGGTATCTGATTGGTTACAGGAATTGTCTGCAGTGTTCACTGATCCATAAGAATTATATTTTACTTTACATCTTCATTATCTTGGCACAATATTAAGCACTCAATTATTTCAATCAATTTATTTCAATCAAGTTATTTCAATGACATTGGTTTGTTAGCCAATACTTGCACGTTTCACTAGCCAATCAGATACGTTGTTCCTGTATATATTGCACCTGGAGAACGAGGTAAGTATATAGATTAAGCTGTAACAAACTACGGGCCAAGCGCAGAAATTGTATATATTGCTTCATTTAAGTACATGCAGCTGCGGTATAATGGTTTAGATATTTGTGCATCGGTGTTTACAGTTCGTGTATCACTTTCTAACAACTTGAAGTTTTAGACCAAGTAAACAACGTGCAACAAAAGTGCTCACCACCAAGGTTGACCACCAAGAGAGAAAAACAAAAAAAAAACGCGAGATAACTTATACCATTAATGACCCACGGGTCATTATTGAGTGTCTTATTTACGTTTTAACTATATTTAAGGTTACAGCAGGACACCCTTTTTGGCGTTTTGTGGAAAATCGCTACTGCGCGCTCTCGATTTTAATCAAATTTTCACCAAATGTTAGCCAGTGCATGCAAAATATGATAAAGTTGTAAAATTGACAAACAATAAAATAATGTAAGAATTATTCAGGAAAATCTTAAGGTGGCTCGATACAGTTTTCAAAAATTCAGGTGTTTAATAGTTTGACATGTTCAAACTACGCATTTTTAGGATTTATTCAAAAGATATTGGTGTTTTTTATATATTTTGATAACTCTACTTTCAAATTATATTAGTTTTAGTAACAGATAGCTCGTTGCTATGACGACATACGTGTACGAAATTCACTCCAAAATGGCCTATCGTTTCGTATAGTTGGAAAAAAAGCATGGTGACCCCCAATTTTTTTTCTTGCATTGTTTTACTTGGACGAAAAGCTAACAATTAGCAAAATATAAAAAAATTCTGTAATGCCATTTTTTGGAAAATGCGAAAATGTCATATTGTTCGGTAAAATTTTTTTGGCATTACAGAATTTTTTTATTTTTTGTATAATGAAAGTTTTTAGCGGTGCAATACAGCATGCAAAATTTGAACATAGGTCACCAGGCAAAATAAAGAGATATAGCGCATTGTTTTTCTAAAATGGAAAATTCTAATGACGTCAGCAATCGACACAAAACGCTATACAACACGCACAATGACGTGAGATGGCGCGAGCAACTGCTCACGTCAGGTCATTTTGGAAGTTTTTTCATTTTGTTAATCAGTTTGCACGACCTGCGCGTAAAAATGGTCGCCCAGTTTTGTTCGCGATTCTTGAGCAGGGTTTTTGTGATAACTATATCGAGCCACCTTAAGTCGCGGTACCTTTACGCTAATTTGAGTTATGTTCCTGCTGGTTTTAAGATATATTTATGAAAATATCATTTTTATACAGTAAATAAAAATACAGTAATCGTGTTCGGACATTTTTGTTTATTTCTTCATTCCGCTGATATGGCGATTTCTTTGACGACTGCAATATATTTCTGAATCGTTTGTGTGAATTGCTCCTTATTATTAAAATATCCAAAATTTAAAAAAAGCCGAACACAATTTTGAAACTGACGTCTTTAGCTATGTCCTGTGAAAATTTGAGAAAAATTCGTTAAAACCCGCAGGAGCACAACTCGTTTAAAAATCAGTAATTGCCGTAAAATTCTTCGGGAGAAAATTGAATTTGAATATTACATTTTCAATGTTTTTCTTATTGCAAGCGAAATGTATTTTATTAAATAACTCTAAAATAACTCAACATTTTTCGTCCAAACTTGGTCAGATAGTAGAACTAGTCTAATGCTTTCATGGAAACCAATAAAAAAATTTTAGGCAAAATTAACACTCAAAGGTGTTCTGTAACCTTAATAATATCATGTCAAGCACTTTTTTGTGTTCAAAACTATATCATTACTGCTTTATTTCAATTGACTTATAAATTACTTGAACCGCGTGACTTGAATGGTAAAATACTTCCCAAGTTCCATCACCCAACTTCTGTCAAAACATCGACTCCAAAACGTACAAACGGCAAGTGATATATGAACTGTAAACATTAATGCCGGCCCCTATGTCTTACGACATTCTAATATCATTCCCCCCCCCCCCAAAAAAAAAAATCCCCAAATCCATATATACACTGTATAGCTACAGTATTTTCCCCAAACCAGTCTACCTATACCTTTCCCCATACCAATCATGCACCGCGAGCTCGAGAGAGACGTAGCTGCAGAGGAGGCTTTGGAAAGTTTGAACCAATGTTTGCAACGTGAACATCTTCAATCGTGAAATCCGTCCATAATGCTAGGCATGCATGCTAGACAGTCGCGGCAATTGCAAAACATGCGTTCAGTTCACAAACAATCAATGGCCGATTTTCCTCAGTTTTCATCTGTTCTATAGATGCATGCACTTTAACGTGGCTTCTTATGCAGTTTTTTTAATAAGAAATTCACGACTAAGATCTGAATTTTTGAACAACTATATTTGCAATATTTTTTTGACATGAGCGAATATTTTGGGTTTAAATTAGATATTTCAGTAATTTGAAAAGAATTTCAACGCTCCAATTATTTCATACCATGATTTGTTTTGTCTAAAATAATTGAATATAACAAATAAATTGTACAACGGGCCAAAACATCCGATTGAAATCGTGAATTTCATTATTAAAATGAAAGTGTTGGGAGCCACGATAAGCTTGATACTTTTTCCGTCATTTCAACAGCACATGCACCGGTGGCCTTACTGTCCTGTATGCAGGTTGTGTAGGTTGTAAATATTGTCCTGCATGCAGGTAGTGCATCTAAAGACTGACGCGCCTTCATATACGAGAGACACTAAATACCTATGGAACTGCACATTACTTTGGTTGGGCGGGTTGGGGTAAAACGAGGATGCGGACAGTAGGATGGACAAACGGTCGGATTTGCGCGCTAAATGAATAAAACGTGACTGTGTAAGCCTATAATAGTTTTCGTTACAATTTTAAAATGTGTAAGCAAATAAAGTTTTGAGATAATATGTACTCTCGCTACGAAGTCGCGTACAATGACAATTTATTAATTAAACAGTTTTTCCCATTTTTGAGACTATCCCTGCTCCCCCGTTTGTCCGTTGGTCCGTATCCAAGTTTAATCCGACCTAATACCCCCCTTCCAGAAAGTACGTCGCCCTGACAAAAGAGCCTCGTTTTCGTGATTGAGACGTTGACACGAAAACGAGGCTCTACAGACAAAGTCGCGTACTTTCGTACGTTACAAGGGACTAGATTACTGAATAAATCTTTAATTTCTGTTGTCTCCTTTGAGCTAGCTTTTAGAAATACTTTGTTGTGGTCATGGGTAACTTAGGAACCCACTTCCCCTTTCATTTCCAATGTTAAAAGAGCAAGTTCTTTGATGAAAGAATCATTGCTACTGCTCAAGTTTACGACTGCCTTTACGTTTTGAAAACATTCAGTTTAACTGCTGTCTGTGGGATTGAAGTGCCTTGTGGATGGTAAATTTGAGAAAGTATACAATTTCTGCGGTGGCAAGTTGGTAGAGAACAGCACTTTCTTTATTTGCGAATACTCGTGCTATGTAAAAGTGTAAAAGTATTTGATCAGACATAGTGCTACAGTGCGGTGCCTGGAACATGCGCAAAACAAGTGCACCACAAGCGCGAAGAATATAAACCGGGATCACCGCAATCTTTCACTCGAATTTACCATCATTTACGAAAACACTTGAACTCCATGCATACAACTGTTCAACAGAATGTCTTCAATCTCTTGGTTAATAAAGTTTGTTTTCTTGTCTATATATGAGAGCGCCACTAGTACCGTAAATCTTCTTTTAACCTTTGGACTATTTTTGGCTGGGCTGGGGAGGGGAGGGCTTGTTGATTAAGCCGGCTAGGCCAATTATATTGATTTATGGTTATTTCGTGAGAGGGGGGACTTGATATATTGAGAGGGGGTGTAATAAACCTCCAAAAACCGGAGGTGGGACGTTATTTAAGTGAGGGGTTTAATGGAGGATTTACGGTGGGTTTACGGTGGGAATGTACAAATGACAACTCAATCCAAACAACCGAAAATTCTTTCCAAGGACTTTCCTCTACGAGACAAATCTATTATTTAGCTATTTCTATAAATATTCCAACAAAGCAGGGCATTGATATAAAGACTAATTGACAATGTGGACACGAATGCGGTTTGAACTCAATATAAACAACCAATTCAATTATTTAAACTTACCTTTTATTTAAACTAAAACTCAGAACGACAGAAACTCGATCTCTAAACGCGAAAAGCATAATGGCCTTGTATAATAGATATGTCTGATTGTGGATGGGGACACCGAAGTTGTACTTGCAAAATTTCACATCAAAAATTCAAAATCTATTTCTAAAAAGGTCCTTCGAAACTTTCACAAACCTTAGAAAACACAATGAGAACACACGGTGTTTGTCGTATTTAATCAGAAAGACTTACCTCTCATTATGCGCGTATGCATACAGCCAAGATTTACGATGGAAAGCGTTTCCATTCTGCTTAAAAATTCCATTGTTTTTCGCACTTGGAGAACGATGTCTGACAATTTTGAGTTCTGACCTCACCAGGGCTCGAAATAGCGGGCTGCCAATGGCCAAAAGCAGGCCATACCTTAGAAATGGCAGGCAATTTTGAACTGCCAAGTAAAAAAAAAATGGCAGGTGAAATTTTATAGTTATATTTCATTAATTTGCTTGCCACAACTCAATATATACTAGATCATTTAGTTGACTAAATAAGTTTATACTTGAAATGTAACTCCACGTTTACTGTAGTAAAATAGACAAGTTTAAAAATAATAAAAATGCATATCATGAAAACATTGACTTTTACAATATGACTCATATGAGACATCGCCATTTTGGCAGTTCAATGAATAAAAATGGCAGGCTAAAATTTATTTCACCTGCCAAAAAACTTTAGACTGGCGGACCATATTTTTTCTCTACTTCGAGCCCTGGACTTCACATTGTTTAACATACTTAACCTTCTTATAAATTTGCATCATGAGTAGTACCATCTTCTTCAATGCACCGGAATGTACATGAACTGTTTACTAATTTCTCTTGCTATTTTTATAGTTTGATGAACAAAGAAGGGCAATCTCCATTGAATGTCGCTTCTATGTGTGGTTTTGAACACAGCGTGCACTACCTCGCGCAATTCCAGTGCCAACATTTTTATTCTGCAGGTATGGTTAATATCTTATTCTGCAGGTATGCATGGTTAATATTAATACAATTAATTAACTGCTCCCGAGGGAAGTATGAAGTCGAGGGAAACTTGAGATTCAAGGGAAAACGAAATAGACGACAGGGAAGTGTTTTGTTATATAGCGACGAAGAAGAAAAATAAAAAAACCGTGAGCACAACAATTATATTTCATATTTATTTTTAATACAAATGATGTTAACAATAAAAGAACGTGCTAAAAAGTGTTTCGGCAGCATTCCCTTTTGCCTGTTGTGCGTTTCTCTTCTCTGTTAGATATACTGTATTCGTTTCGCAAATTGAATGAGAAACGTTCTTTCTAATGGCTCTATTTTGAGCATTTATATACGTATCCTGTCGGAGCCGGCAACAGTTTTTCACTTGTTGCCCGTCGGGATACGTTCTATCTAAATTCACGTGACCACAAATTAGCCAATCACGTTTAGTTTAACTATATAAATATCTGTATCACTAAAATCAGAGACTTATCTGCTACTTGTGGTTTGCAGGTGGTCAGAAACTGAAGAGAAGTCTTGATGAGGATGAAATAAACAGAGAAGTGAAAAGAATATGCAATGGTATGTTTGCCCAGGGTGTTAGCCAGCATTTCAAAAGTGGCCGTCCAAAATAATTTTGTGGGCGTGGTCACATTTTTTGGGCGTGGCCGCAATTTTTGTTGTTGTGGAATTGTGGTGTTCTATTCGTAGAACCTTTTTACTTTTATATGCACATTTCCGTCATTAAATTAGTAAAAGCACACGTATGGTATGAACCATATGATCACTACGATGTACAGTATATGCTATAATGAAGAACGCAATACAGCAGCTAGTGTAGTGCTTAGTTATTTTTTTATCAATCGCCGATATTTTCCCCCTTTTTTATGCGTTTGGCTTATTTTATAGCCATCGTTAGTATTTTCTCTTTACCGTAACTGCAACTCTAAAGCAGGTGGCGCTCGAGCGGTAAAGCGACTGCTGGTTTTTAAAACAGCGGTTTCAAATTGTTCTCCTTAATACTTCATGCGAGAATCATCAACATGGTTACAAAAACATGTCGCGTTTGCTTCAGTTCAGCCATATTCAACGTGTTTTCGACGGGAAAAAGTATGAAAACAAATACCATAAGTAAAGTAAACAGCAGATGACAACAATTCGAAGTATTCAAGAAATATTACAAAGCTTGTAAATTGCTATTTAAAGAAAATATTCCCTTAGGCCGTCCATTAAAATTTAGCCGTCCGAATTCAGAAGTGGCCGTCCGTAGGACGGTCGGACGGCCGCCTGGCTAACACCCTGTGTTTGCCCTTCATTTATTGTTAATGACTGATCGATCATGCCATAATCTGAAATTAACAATTGTCCCAAGTCACAATCGCCTTAATCAATGTAAAAACCAGTCGAATGATTGTGGCTTTGCGAGAGAGACTTCAATATTCTTCAGCTTGATAAATTGGCAGATTCAATTTTAGAGAGTTTTATTATTATTATATTTATATTTATCCAGGATACCCACGTCACCGAAGTGTTTTTCAGTGGGGTCCTGCATTATAAATTTCAACTTCAATATACATATACATTACAAAATAACTTGCAAATCTACAATAACATGCGTTAACATACTTATACTATATATATCTACAATAACATGCGTTAACATACTTATACTATATATATATATATATATATATATATATATATATATATATATATATATATATATATATATATATATATATATATATATATATATATATATATATATATATATATATATATATATATATATATATATATATATATATATACATATACATATATATATACATATACATATACATATACATATACATATACATATACATATATATATATATATATATACATATACATAACGTAATGGAACTAAGACTATGTTTACTATGTAATTCTCGCCTACACAGCGTTTTTTAATAGAGTTTTAAACTTGTATAACGAGTTAGCGTTTCTAATGTCTGGTTCTAGGTTGTTAAAGTCTTTTGATGCTTGGTAGCTTGGTCTTTGTTTTCCCTTGTTTGTGTTCGTCTTTGGGAGGTGGAGGTCGTTTTTTCTTCTTGTGTAATAGGTGTGAATGTCTTCGTTCTTCGTTAATTCAAACTTAAAGTCAATTAAATCATTTAAACATTTATAAATAAATATACATCTATGGTTATGTCTTCTAGTTTTAAGTGTTGTCCATTTTAGTCGTCGTAGTGCTTCCGTTGCAGAATAGCGTGAGCGTAATAGAGTTATTTTAATTGCAAAATAATCATGCAGTTCTATACAGTCGGGAAATACATAACTTTTACCGGTAAATACAGAAACTTTTACCGATTCCGATTGTCTACCGATAACACAATAATCTGCCCGATTTCGAATTTTCCGTTATCGGTCATTCTTTATTGTTTATTGTACTGTATGTAATTTTCACATGCATGTCATATTTTGGATTTTTTTAAAATTATGAAATGGTTGTTTTTGTTCACAATCCAGGAACTCATTCAATCCCATGTCAATGTTTTTAAACAAAAAAAATAAAAATTAAAATTGTTGTACTGTATGTTTCGCATGGCATCACTACCTATAAATGTTTCCGTCTCTGCAATGTGGAAACACCTTGTTATTTTGTCCAGAATTTTATTTGGTCAGACGAGGTTAACCGTCAGCATAATAGGTGTGTTAAGGTGCCTGGTAATGATCCAGCCAGGCTTACAGAAATCTTTGTAAAATGAACTCACTTTATCTCAATCACCGGAGAGCAGGTTACAAATTATCTATAGCCTAGCAAATATTGTCCGTTCCATTGTATTTTGGTCCATCTTTTGATTTTCAACTTGTAGGTTCTTCACGGAAAATACAACCCAATGGAATTGATTATCATCACACGAATGGATTATTAAATGGCTACCCTCTCAAAGATGATAAACCTGCAATGCAGATGGAATCGCAAATGAATGGAAACATGGATCATGATATGGAGGTCTTGTGTGAGGATGCAAAACCTATGTCAGCGGTACAGTTCGAGAAACTTCCAACTAAACTGTCCGTACCACAAAGGTGTATGGGAAGTCATTTTATGTAAATAATACGCAGTCGTCAAAAGGTTTTAAGATCAATATCGCCATTTTATTCACACTTGTAGAAATATTGTAGAGATAAATGGATGTTCAAAACACATTTTTAATAATACAAATGGTCTCACTGTGTATTTTATTTCTATATAAATAAATTTTCTCGTCAAAAGGAAGATTGACCATCTCAAATCTTTTGTTGTATTTCCTTTTCCAAATGAATGGATATAGTTGCGCCTTCCTTTACTGTTTTCTTTTCCTGAAGTTTCACAACATGCAACTTTTGCATGGTCCTAACTATCAACATTGAGAATAAAGGACGAAAGCAGCCTACACATAAATGTCAACTAATAATCAATTCGTCATTCAGCAAACCAGGAATATGCAGCCCAATACATCACAATTGCATGAAAACGCAGCTTTAATAACATCATGTTTTCAATTATAATTGAAATGTCATGTCAACTGCGGACTTGCTGCAAGTCTGTTATCATCGCCATTGCTGCAGCTCTGTCGACATCAAATTGCTGCAAGTCTGTTGCGACAGGTCTGTTAACGACAACTTGCAGCAAGTCTGTTGTCATCGCCATTGCGACAGGTCTGTCGACATCAAATTGCAGCAAGCCTGTTGTCGTGCTGATGCGGGCAAGTATCGTCAAGCCGCAACAAGCCGAGCGAACGCTTCTGAGATGGGGCTTGATGGCAACAATTCGCATGCGGCCTGATGACAGACTTGCTGCAAGTTGCGCGAACTTGGCCGTGTACACAGCCAGAAATCTCACAGGCCTGTCGCAAGCTGTTGATTTTACCGGCTTGCGGCAAGTTGTCAACAAGTCGCGACAGGTCTGTTGGTTTCGTCAGGCGGTAACAGGCTTGCGGTAACAGGTCTGTCGCAAGCTGTTGACAACAGAGCCGTAGCGACTTGTTGAAACAGCCCGCTACAAACCTGTTACTAACAAGAGATAACAGGTCTGATAGAACAACTTGCAGCAAGTCTGTTGAAATCAACAGGTCTGTTCCAACCTGTTCCAACAGACCTGTCACGAGTTGTTTTTGTCAAGTCTGCAGCAAGCTTGTTATCAGACCTGCGACAAACCTGTCCACAACAAACAATTTTTATCCTGTCACAACAAGTTTCAACAAGCCTGTTGTTGGGAAACAAACCGAAAATGTGAGTAAAGAGATATAAAATCGCACGAAATGGACACTTCCGGCTTCACTTTCTCATTTAATCATTGTCATTGGTGGCAATATTAAATCACATAGGAGAGATTATAGTCCATCTGATTATTATAAACAGTGCTTCCATTTTCAAGGAAATTTTCTTTTCTAAGGAAATTCTATGGTCCAAAAGGAAAATCTAAGGAAGAGAAAAAATCTAAGGAAATCTAAGGATTTTTTCCGAAAAACTTAAATATTCATCCCAGTGCATTGGTGCAGAAGAAGGTTTCACTATTTTTACATTTTTGAGTGAATTATCATTATTTATCAATTATGTTAATTAAAAATCTGTTTATAAGTTTTTCTTCGTGTTTCCGAAAACTTCCGAAAGTTTTTGAGCGATGGGATTTAGTAACCTTTGGCGCCAAACACTGTGACTAGTTAGTTAATTATAACAGTGATATCGTATATGCAGGGCCGTCCTCAGGGAATTCTTCAGGGGGGGGTGTAAGGTCATGTCAACCGACTGGTGCCGAAAAAAATTTTTCTGGAACAAATTATTTTTGGCGACCTCCCCCCCATCGCCAAAAAAATTTCGGTCAGTGTACCATTTTAGGGGTCCAAAAGTTTTTCCGGACATACCAAAATTTTTCGGAACATCAAACAAATTTTCCAGACATCACAAATTTTCTCCATTTTTTCAAAAAGATGTTTCTAAAATTTTGACCCCTATCTTGCCCTTTGCGCGAAAATATTTAACCCAAATGGCAGTTCTACCGACAATTTCTGGGGGTGTTACACCCCCCTCCCCACAACCCCCCGCAGCTCCGGGCCTGCGTATATGTTGTAAAATCATAACAAATATTTAATTTTAAACAGTATAACAGCCTGTGTTTTTTACCTAGCCCACATATGTGTTAATTGTGCTACTTTGTGCCTTTAAAATTAATTATATCAGTTTGTATTGGTCCAAAATCACTGCAAACTGCTTAATGAAACTTCAAGGAAATTTCAAGGAAATTATGTATACACTCTAAGGAATTTAGAGAAATTTTGATGTCAAAAATGGGAAATTTTTATTTTGAAAATGGAAGCACTGATTATAAAATGCAAAAGCCGCTGTTTTATTTTTTTTTTAAAAAGTTCCGATTTCCAAAATCCAAATTCCAATTTGCTGACGTGTGCTATCGCTATATTTCATTAATCTGATTGGATAAACGCGTGTGCATACGTCATCATTCCTCGTTGCAATTGGGCGAAATATTACAAACATATCAATCACGTAATCATGTTTAGTTGTTTTTCAATTTTGAGCCAAACAAAATTTCAATTTTCAAAGCTGTTCTGATTTTTGAAGAAACTGTGGCAATGACAATACAAGATCTACTAGAGCTTAAGAAATGAACAATACATGAACAACCGAGTGTTAACTGCAACGTTCGTCATTGTTGATATGAACATGAAATTCGTTATATAATTTCTTTCCAATTTCAAGTGAAATCTGCGAGCGAGGAAGACGCCTTATTGAAGCTTTGTGTTATGGTATGTACTGTTTTGAAGAAAAATATGCAAAGTAGGTTGTCATATTTCGGTCGTACTTAAAGACAATTAATTTTGAAAATTGTTTACGATAAGAACCTTTCTTGAATTTGTCGTATTTTTTCGGCTGTTTTGCTCAAAAATTATCGCGCAAGTTTGTTTATAAAACTTTATATTCATATATAAAAATTATTTCGCAAGTTTGTTTATAAAACTTTATATTCATATATAAAAATTATTTCGCAAGTTTGTTTATAAAACTTTATATTTCAAACTTCTATTTCACGAAACACTACAACCGAAATATGGCAACCTGTTTGGCCGTTTTTTTGTTCAAAATAGTGGATACACAAGCTTCATAACACTTCATAAGGCCACAAAATAAGAAAGTATAGCCACAGAATAAAGACATACAGAAGTGTAACTTCCATTACAAAACCGTAAGGCCTTTTTTACCGAAATAGCTGGCGGCCATGTTCTTAGCAAGTGCCCTAAAGAGAGGCATTCACCCCCCTGGAATATTAAATTTTCAATATGTTTTCAGGGGGGTGACTGCCTCTCTTTAGGGCACTTGCTAAGAACATGGCGGACTGAAAAAATCCCTTACGCACTTTTAATAAGAAGATACACTTCTGTATGTCTTTATTCTGTGGTATAGCAGAAGTGTAACTTGAGTCGGTGTTTACGTCATAGAAATAATAGACATAGAATGCGTGCTAATGACGAATCATGTCTCCACTTTTTCAGGTGCGTGCCCTTTTGAATGCGCCATTTTGAATTTTGGCCAGGAGTGCAAACGACAAAGTATAAACAAAGCTAAAACTACGTTTTTATCGTCAAAACGTTTTGTCTTGTTGTCTAATTTGTAGTTTGGGGATAGATTTCGAGTTCCTTGAAGCCACAAACTGTCAAAGCAAATGTGCAGTTACAAAACACTATGAAAACAGTGAAAATCGTGCAGCCTTTTAAAAGCAAAGTAGTTTCGCGAAAATATAATTTACTCAAAACATTTTTGCATGCTCTAAACGTAACTGTTTTGCTAATATCTTATAAGATTACAAAATGATAGTTCTTTCTTCGTCGGGTTTCGTTTTTCTGCAATGTAAATGAAGTGTTTTCATGTTCTTGAAACATTTTATAGTTGTCGAGAAACTGTAAAATTGCCTAAAAATAATCGTCGAAAACCATGGTTTCAAAAGCGTTGCCTCAAGCTCAAGCAACGTAGAAAAATACGAAATATAATTGTGTAAGTTTAAAAAGATTATTGAACTCCATTTATACTGTAAAAGAGTTGAAATATTTGTAGAACATACCTATTGAGTTTGTCTTGATCTTTTGTGTTTTGTTTTGGCTTGCACAACAACATAACGTTGAAAATGTATTTTTAAACGACGATTTCTGCATATATTCTGTTCAGAACTATTGCTTTTCGTAAAAAAAACCACTGGAATGGATTTTTAGACACTTTTCCTTAGTTTACCAAACTGTTTTTCCATTTTAAGTCCCGATATAAAATTTTTTGAAAACTTTTCAGTTGAAAAAATAATTCGCACTCCGTGCAACCGCGCGAAATTCCCTGCCTCAGGAGTCTGGGACGGTGGGACCAACCAAAATGCCCTTTTCAATGCGCCATTTTGTGGAGACAAATTTTTTACTGAGAAAAGATAGGAGCACGCATTCTATGTCTATTATTTCTATGGTTTACGTCCACGAAAATTTTAACTCGCTCACGCCATCCTGGCTAGTACAGTGAACTCTAATAATAACTGGAAGGCTAACTCCATAGATATAGGAGACCTAGATTGCTGACTCTAATGTTTTCTATAATGCACGCGCGTGACACTCATGAGCATTCAAAATGGCGGCTCAACCGGGCAAAAATCATAGAGCGAGATAGGGAAAAACCATGTTTTTTGCATTTTGCGTCGTCCTACAGCTTCCGATCCCGTTATATCACTTTATTTTGGAAAGAACTAACTGGTGTGAAGGTTTTGGATGAATATTTGTGCAATTTAAGTTTAATAAAGACGAAATAATCGATTGCTAAATGTTTTCTGAAATCGTCACAATGGTCGGTTGAGCAGTTCGAGACATTTTGTTGCAGAAAATAAAGGTTTTGGTTCTTTGGGTGCTTTTTTTCTCGAGGATCTCGGTTGGGATATTTAACAAGGAATAATTCTGTGAAGTATTTTGAAGTTAAAGCCTATTTTACTTGATTTATTTGGTCTGCTGGTGCGAAAATTCTGATGCTCTGTTTAGTGTGACTTTGACAACCTCCTTGCTGCTGCAGATGTCAAGGGATCTCAAGTCTATAGGGCCTGGACAGTGAAAAGTGATGAATCAATCAGGTTTGTAGAGAGAACTAGTGACAACGAAAGTTTTCAATGGAAACTAGTTTGAAGAAACTGCCTAATGTGTCTGGTATGCATCAAAAACCTTCACAGTTAGTATCTAGTTCTCTCCAAGAAACCTGATTGATTCATCATTGATAATCAAAAATAGATGGGACGGCATCTTCGTTTA